TGGTGGTACCAAGAGGGAATATCACAGAGTTCGCAAGTTGGTAAAGGTGATAGGACAATGCAGAGAGATAACCGATATACAAGACTGACTGTGAAGTGTGAGAAGGCAGGAATAAACTCAGAAATAGAACTATGGTGTTTAAGGCAGAGATGGGTCTGGTGGAAGGCAGCGGGTGGGAAGGATACAACAGGGAGGGCTTCATGGAAGAAGCAGTGTCTGGGCTGGGCCTTTTGTCAGAATTGACAGGGGAAAGGATATCCTAGAGGGAGAGGAGGCCCTGAACAGAGCCTTGGGGAAAGAAAAGCACTGTGTGGCTTCATGGGAGCCCAAGATAACACGTCAGTTAGCATGTACTTAGCTTCTACACAAAGGAGCAGTGGGAGGTGAGGCTGGGAAGGTTGGCAGGACAGGCTGGTGTGGGGGGTGGGGACAGTGGTGGTGCTAAAGTCAGGCTGGGCTTGTTCTAGGATGCAGCAGAGACAGGACTGAAGCTATTTCAGGGGGAGAGGGGAAAAGGCAGGCGTTTGAGAGACTGTTAGGAGGCTGTTAATCTGCAGCAGGAAGAGGAGGGGACAGGATAGAGACAGGAGACCCTGCCAAGGCAGAATGGAAAGCATGTGACTGGTGCAGTTACACAAACCACACAAAGAAAGAATTCAGCAACAGTTCATCAGACGTTTACCATGTTCAAGGGGCTGTTCTTATTGCTGGGATCACAGAGGGAGCGAATAAACAGGAACTTGAGCCAGCTTTGCAAGAAGGGCAGATATGCTAGGTGCTGTGGACAGACCTGTTGTCTGTCCCCTAGTAGGCACCTACCCAGGCTGGGCCAATCACATTACTCTGTTGTGGTAGCTAGTTTCCAAAGACGGCCCCAAACAACACCCTCCTTCCCTACATGCGCATGCTGCTCTAATATCGAAATGGAGAGCTTATTTCCCCTCCCTTTGAATCTAGACTGGCCCAGTGACTGGTTTTGACCAGAAGTGACATTTGGGGACCTTCTAGCCCAGCTTTAAAAGGACTAGAAGCTCCTATTTCCTTCCTCTTAGAATACTCTTGGATGCTTCCTCTTCGAAGCTAGCTACCACGTGTGGAGAATCCCAAGCCATGGAGAATGGAGTTGCTCTAATTAACAGTTCCAGCTGAGCTTCTAGCTGACAGACATATATATGGTTGAGCCATCTTGAATGATCCAGCCCAGTCAGGACCCTAGGTGACCTCAGCTGACAATAAAGCAGAAGAACCTCCCAGCTGAGTCCAGCTAACTCGCAGAACAAACTTTAAGTTAACTACGAAAGATAATGAAATAGTGGTTGTTTTAAATCACTGAGTTATGGAGTGGTTTGTTATGCAGTAACAGATAACAAAAACCCATCTGACCACCTTTACTTGACCCATGAGTAGTTTTGTACCCAATCTGACTCCAGCTAGTAGCCATGAAGAGACTTCTTTCCTTTCTAGTGGCAAAGCCATGAGGTATGAGGCCCAGGAGCTGCCTCCATCCCGTAAAAAAGCCTACTCAAAAGAAAGAAGATGGCAAATAGAAGTACGGATGCAGCCAGGCAGCCCTGGACAAGCTCAAGTTCTGATTCTAGTTGGATTGAGATCAGCCTACCAAGCTCTCCTTCCCCTTTTAACCTTCCCCTATTTACCCCAGCTCGTTTGAGTTGGGTTTCCATCACTTAAATCAATAAACCTTGATTAAAATGCTGGCTCAGCATTTCCAAGATACTAAATCGACTGTATATATATATATATGACTATACCTGGCCCATGGCCAATTATAATACCATTTTATACTCACCATATTGGCAAACATCTCAAGTCGGGTAACATAAAGAATTGGTGAGGGTGCAGGCCAATGTGGAAGTGCATATTAGAGTATCCACTTAGGAAAATAATTTGCTATTATCTAGAAAGTTGGACATGTGCCGCCCCCACCACCCAGCAACTGTGCTTCTTTGCACATACCCAGAGGAACACGTGCACACACACGAGAATACTTGAAGCAGCTCTGAAACAGCTACAGTAGAAAAGCTGGAAGCTATTTTAAATATCTACTATAAAGATGTGTGAAATGCATAATAATTAGGTACTGAAATGCTACACAGCAGTGAACCCGGTTGCATTTCTACAACTACTGGCTGCATTCCATACAATAACATGAAGGTCATTGATATTAAGCAATAAAAAGAGCAAGACATAGAAGAATATATACAGTATATTGTATTTTCCTAAAGCTCAAAAATCAAGCAAAACTAAATATACAAATATATGAAGAAAAAATAAAATGAAAAGCAAAACAAGACAAACTCAAAATTCAGGATAGAGGTTTTTCTCTGAGAGGGAGGGAGGGAGATGGAATCAGGAGCAAAAAGTGAGCTTCAAACTTACTGATGCTTAAGCTAAGTGGTGAGTTATATGAATACTCAATTTATTAATAATCTACAAACCACACTTATACTTTATATGTACTCTTGTTTGCAGATGTTTCATAATAAAAATTTGAAATGCATTTTTAAAAAGCAAATATTACCACATTGGGCTAAACACTATAATCCAACTATAGACCTTATACAAAGGATGCAGTAAAAGCAAAATAACAGAAAGGTTAAAAATGAAGGGATGGGCAAAGTTATATCAGACAAACACAAAAAAGAGATGCACAGCAATGCTAATGTAAGATAAATTAGAATTCAAAGCAAAAACCATAAATAGCTTAGAGAGTTATTTTCAATATAAATACATGTAATCCATGATGGAAATACTATCAGCCACAAACCATAATGAGATAAATAGCATAGCCTCAAAATATAGGAAGCAAATGATAACAGAAATAATCAAGGTAAATGACTGAAGCATTTTTAAAAAAAATTTTTTATTCTTAAATTTCATACAGTAAAATCAGATCTTTTGGGTGAACAGTTCTGAGTTTTGACAAAGGCATAAAGTCATGTAACCACCACCACAATCAAGACATAGTTTTATCACCCTCAAAAATGCCCTCGTGCTGCCCCTTGGTAGTCAAATGCTCCCCACACCCCCAATCCCTGGAAACTCTGAGCTGTTCTCCATCCTTACAGTTTTGTCTATTCTTTCTATGCCATATAAATGGAATCATACTCTCTTTTGAGTCTGGCTCCGTTCACTCAGCATAATGCTTCTGAGATTCTTCCAAGTGTTGCATGCATCAGTAGTTTATTCTATTTCATTACTGAGTAGCTTTCAATTGTATGGATGTACGACAACTGCTTATCATTCACCCAGTAAAGGGCTTTTGGATGGCTCCAGTTTGGGGGAGACTATAAGTAATGTTGTGTATAGCAGCAGAACAGTACCGGTTCATGACCTGTTGGAAACTGGGCCACACAGGAGGAAGTGAGTGGCTGGCAAGTGAACAAAGGTTCATCTGTGTGTGCAGCTGCTCCCCAGCAGTAGCAGCACCGCCTCAGCTCCACCTCAGATCATCAGGCATTAGATTCTCATAGGAGCACCCGTCCCTGGTGCCAAAAAGGTTGGGGACCGCTGGATAAGAGTTTGTGTGAACATAAATTTTCATTTCTCTTAGGTAAATACCCAGAGATAGCTGGGTCATATCGTAAATGTATGTTTAACTTTACAAGAAAATGTTCGATTTCTTTTCCAAAATGGTTGTACTATTTCGCATTCCCAAATAGTAATGGAGCAAAGTTCTCGTTGCTTTGCATCCTCACCGGCATTTGGTATTTGAAGCATAATCTTACACAGCAGTATCAATCAATGACAGTAGTACATACACTAGCAATCAAGCATAAAATAGAGAGATTTGGACAATTACAACGCAACTAAGGCTGATTCTTCATTTCAAGAATCTGTGGAACATTTATAAAAATACATCACATAAACTACAAAGAAAACTTTAATACATTTCCCAATGTAGAAACTGTATCACAACATAATAAATGCTGAAATAACAAAAGTTTAAATGGCGATAAAAATAATCATATAGAAGTTACAAAACACTTGCCAAATTAATTATTGCTTTGGAAAATGGAATTTTAAAATTTAACTAGACTATGTAGAAAATAATGAAAATAAGAGCCCCACTCAACTACAAACGCAAAGGTTAAAATGCTTTCATTATTACAAAAAAAAAAAAAAAGCCAATACATTTTTCTTATTAAGGGGGAAAAAAGAAACGATTTCCCAACATATGAAGGAAAAAAAGAAAATCAGAAATAGTGGCGGTTTACAGTTCTCTGTAACCGGTATATCAAGCTCTTAGAGGGCAGGGCCATATTTCTATTATCCGCTAGTGAACAGTGTGCCTGGCTCACAATATCCGCTGAATACTTAGAAACACTTTTAGTTTTCCCAATGTTAGACTTTCTTTCCTTTGGGCTTCCACAGTAGGCTGCTATTTTAGCATTTATTAGAGTATTGCAATCACATAAAATTTCCACATCACACCGGTCCTTTAAAAACAAATATGCTATTAACATTAATTCGTTTAATCCTTAAAGCAACTTTTTTGGATATTCCTTTTTTCAGAAATTGAGGCTCAGAAAGGTTAAGTGATAAGGTCATAGGGCGAATTCATCGCAAAGTGAGGATCCGGTTGCACATGGGTCTACTTTCAAAAACAAGCTCTTCCTACCGGAACAGGTTACTCTAAACTCAGGGGCAATTCAAAGGTTAGTTTTGTCACCTTTGTAGCCTCAGCTCCTAACCTAGTTCCTGGCACAGACTATCTCAAACAAGTTAGGCATTACTTGCGTTCTGTTGTCGGTAAAGCTTTCTTTTGTGTAGAAAGATGCACAAATTACAAGCCGGCAATCGAGACGTGAAAAGAAGTCCAAAATAATTTGGAAAGAACACTGCGCGACTCTCAGCCTTGCCTTGGGTCCCATCTCTATGGTTGACACGTAACCGCTCTATAGTCTGGAGGACTCAGCAAGCACAGCCAATCATTAGGCCATTTTACTGGCACGTGGCTGGAAGTTTGACTTCTATTGGTTAACAGCGGTAAGGGCCGCCCAACCACCTCCTGTCTGCTTCTTTAAGTAGAAGCCGTGCCTGCTCCTCCATCTTTCGGTGGCTGTGAAGCTGGCGAGGTGAGTTTGTTGTTGTGTTGTGCTGTAGCGTGTCGGCCCCGGGTGTCTGGGCCCCGGAGCCGGGCGGGAGGCGGTTAGCCAGCGGTGATGACATCTCAAATAAAGCACGTGTTAGACTGCTGACAAGGGTGATGCGAACTGGAGTCTGAGCCGGGCCGCCGTGGCCGCGGGGAGAGAACGGGCTTGCAGGTACACACCCGCTCATCTTCTGCTCTCGTTCTTGCAGGTCCCTGCCGGGCCGAAGACGTTGGATCTTACTGCCCTGGCACTTCGATCCTCGCCCGAAGGCCCGCAATAAAATGTTTTGATCCCAACGATGGTGTCGGTGTTTCTTACCGCGACGCGCTGCCTTTGAGCCCCCGCCGCGCCTGCGCGTGGCGCCGGGGGTCAGGCTGCAGCGCCAGAGCACAGGCTTGCGCATAACTGGGGCAGTCGGCTCTTCGCCGGCGGCCCTTTTAACCGCAAGCGACACTGCGGCACCGCGCTGCGGGAGGCGAGTTTCCCCGGGAGGAGGGGACAGTTGTGACGACTTAGCTGTTAAAGCCAATGTTGAAATGCCCCAGACGTAGGGGGATCCTGTAGGCTCAGCTGCTTAGTTCCCTGCACGTTCTTTGTACCTGCCTTTAAGCCTCGACTGGCTTGGTGTGATCAGTGAGACTTGGAGCTTCAGCCAACCGCGGCTTGGATGGTCTCGAGTTGAGCAACGGGCCACGGCCTTGAGCAGTTTAAGGGCGTGGTGTACTTGACACCCTTAGGTCTTGAGGTGCATGAAGTTACCTGGCTACGGTGTAGCCGCGACCTTTTTACAGAATATTTAGGGCCAACTGCTCTTTTGGATACCATGCCAAGGTCAGGCAAATGAATGTCGTCTCATTCAGCCTAAACGGCTTACAACAGGGTCGTTGTGAAGAGTTAGATTTTACACATTACAGGATACAACACAGGCACCTAAATTAAGTGCACAATCCTTTGGAATTCAGGTTCTAGATGCTGAACGATCTGAGTTTAGTTGGGATGTGCGTCCGTCCTGAGTACAAGGTAGCACGTGTTGAGGGGCAAGGATGCACAAGTGCAGGTAAACTGCCCTGGCCCTTAACTGAAGGGGGCCCAAGGTAACATGACTACTCGGATAACTACCTCCCTCGCGCTAAGGTGTGACTACCTACGATCGTTAAAAGGGCTGGTCCAGTGATCACTCAGGAAATTGAAGTGCTTGGCAACAGAGGGCCCATGTGCCTTAGACCCACTGCTCTGTGCCTGTTGCTAAACAAGATTCAGTAGAAAAAACTTAGATGCTTATCTAGTATTTGACGAGATATTTATTTTGTGAAATAATGCAAGCGATTGTACATCCCCACATACCGTTGAAGTGCAATAGGGTACAGTCATGTGTGATCTCTACACAGTAGTGCATCTAGTCCTTTGCCTTTAGTTATTGCACAGAAATATAAAGACCAGTGTAACAAGACATGCGGACTGACAAGCAAATTGGCCTACACAATGAGAAATTAGAACAGTACACCAGCTGGAATGGTCAAATAATTTAAACGAAATGGTTTAATAGTGTAATTAAAGTAATCGAATAAGGGTTCAAATATTTTTTCAATATATTAATTTAAAGTCATGTTCAGGCAAGGTGCAGTTTTAAAAAAAAAACCACTATTAGCTTAGTCCACAGATGTAAGATCAAAAGTTACCCAGGGTAATTTTGATGTTGAATGAAGCTTTAAACAAAATCATTTTAAAGTACTTCTCGAAGCAAATTACACAATTAGAGCCTCCACACTTGTAAACTAAACATTCTGACACAAATGCACAAAATAAAGTTGGCAACATTGAAGAAATGTCACATGTTAATTTTGAGATGTAGTGTCTGGTGTTGAGCAAACTTGGTCTTGACTCTCAAAGTGATAGCAGTTCTCTGTTTTGGCCATCAGAAAAGGAAACTGCCCATAAAATATCCCAACCAATTAGATCAACAAAGCATTTAGATGCTTATATAAAGCTTCTTGGAGCACACTGGAGGTGCTAGGTGGGAAGGTGGTGGCTATGGCTTTCTGGCCCTGCCTGATCTGGTCATGTGCGGTGTTTGACATTTTCAAATATGCTCATGTCAGGAAACCATTTGGGATTCAATAGATCCAGGTGATTG